AATGAACATTACATTAAATACAATTTCTATGGGCTTCTCGACTTATTTAGGTCTAAAATACGCATGCGCAGTTTGTTCAAAACCATATGCTTATCACTTTGTGAACACGCATTCAGACATTTCTGTATCTCCAACTAGGTTTGCTTCATTACAACTTTATATCTAGTTTGCAATAATTTAGTCTTTACTTCTTTCATAGACCACTATAAACGCCTTTTGGCAACTTGTTTCTTTCTTACGGGTTTTATTCTTCGTATTGTGTCATACACTGAGCACTTATAACTGTTTCATATGCTGTATACTAATATAAATACTATTTCTTTACTTTATATGTAGTTTTATTAAATAAATGAATGTATGTGTAGTGTTACTAAATAAATTTAAGTCTACATGAGTTTGTTTGTCTGACCACATAAAAGTTTTTCAAATAGACCAGGATTTATCAATCTAACACATAATGCTTGCAAGAAAGCTTAGCTTAAATTGTGTGTGTGTGTGTGAAAATGATAGAATAAGGAAAATTCAAGTAAAAGCCATTAAAACCACCACAAATGTTTTGCGGGTCCTGGCTAACACTACTAGAGTTTCTTACAAAAAAAGGAACAGATGACAATAAACTGATATGTGACTCTAATTTAACTGTTGGTTTTATGTTTGATTGTATTCAATTATTTGTTTAATATTTATTATAATGATGTTTCTCTGTTTTGACATCATCTTGTTTCTATTTGCTCTTTTTCTGTATTATTCTCTTCCCACACACACACACACCTTCTTCATATATGACATCATTCTAGGCCTACATGTACTATATCTCATCTTTCAATTTTCACACAATCTCATGATTGCATCTTCCTTTTTGTACATCTTCAGTATCTTGCTTCATCTAGAAGTGAAAAAGGACATTAAATATAACATTATTCAATTAATACTTGAAATTACAGTACTTGGTGAAACTCCATAATTACAGAATTAAGGTAAACAAAGACAGTTGGACTATTTTTTAATATTTCATTTATTACTACCATGGTTTCACCTGTAAAGGCATCATCGGCACAGGTATGTGTCTTTCTTTTCTTCAGTTCTATTTATCATTACTCTTATTTTTTGTTTAGTGAGCCTGTAAACAGAGTTACATAATTTGGTTAATATGTATTTCAGGTTAATTCCAACTTTCATAAAGTGAATATTTATATTGAATTAACTAATCTTTCTTCATTCTCAAACCATGTAAATTAGATTAATTTCTCCTTCCTCACTTTTAGTTTATGAACTTAGTTTATCTCAGTATTTTATTCAGATTTGAAGTAGGTTGATTTAAATTTTTCACTTTGACATTATTTGTATTGGATTAATGCTTTGTTTCTCTTTCTTACTTTGTATATTTATATTATATTCAATTAATTTACTATACTTAGAAAATAATTCAATCCAAGTAATTTATTTTTCTTAATTTTTGAACATGTAAACTAGATTAAATCTTCGATTCTCAATTTGTAAATATAAATTGTATTAAGTTTATTGTCATTTTTGAATGTATAAACTGGATTAGTTCATTGTTTTTGATTTCATATGCAGGTAAACTTAGTTAACCCATAACTGGATTAGTGCCCCCCAGTGGCACAGCGGTATGTCTGAGGACTTACAATGCTAAAATTCGGGTTTCGATACCCGTGGTCAGCAGAGCACAGATAGCCCATTGTGTAGCTTTGTGCTTAATTACAAATTGTTTTTCACTTCATATACACGTAAACTGGTGACCCCCTTTTCCATAATTTCTGGAGATGTAGGCTCGATTGATTCCTCATTTATAATGTTATGAAATTATAAAATTATTTAATGCTTTCTAAAGTTTGTAAACATATAAAATGAGTTAATTCTTTTTGAATTTTATGAGTGTATAAAATTAAATCATTTTTCTTTTTAAATTTTGTGAACATGTAAATTGGGTTTTAACTTGTTCTTCATTTTGTTTGTAAATTAAACACATATGATTACTTTGTATTTTTTAACATGAAAACAGCACGATTTATTTTCCTAGATTTGCTTCAGTTATTTTGCAATTTACTTCAACTATATCAAGTACAAATAAGGTATTTTTAATGTGCATTATATCATCTATTTGAAATATATATACTTATTAACTTTTCTTATTTATACATTCAGAAATTTAGTTGTTTTTTGTCATGATTATTTACTGAGAAAAAGAATTGGATGACCATATATTCATATCTGAACTAATATCCATAAAATGATTAGTAATTCTGACAATCTACTTTAAGTTATCTACATGAAGTTAGTTTTTTGTGCTTTGTTGTCTTGAAATAATTTGTTTTTTTTAAGTATGTATCCTTTTACTTTGTACAGGCAAAGATCGGGTGTTCAACACTCCACTGTGTGAACAGGGAATTGCCGGATTTGGCATTGGAATGGCAACTGCTGGAGCTACAGCAGTTGCTGAAATCCAGTTTGCTGACTATATTTTTCCTGCCTTTGATCAGGTTCTGGATTTTTGAAATATGTATCTTAATAAGTTATCACTCGATTTTTTGTGTATGTTTCTCTCTTGAAAGGGAATAAAAGGCTAATAGGTTTAATTTCTTCAGTTGGCTTAGCTGGACTGATAAGGAAGAAAATATTTACATGGTATAGTACTTAAGCTGATTATGGTCAGTTTTGTTATTTAATGCGATGTTTCATTTATAACCTATGTTATCTGAAGAGATGTAACAATATTTAAATCTGCAATCTTCATGGTAAAATTGATTGCACAAAACAGTAATATAAATTAGTTAACCCACTCACTCCTAGTATCCTTTACTACGTATGGCCCAAGGTTTTAGTGTCTTACATTCAAAATTTATTAAATCAAATTTTGTTTGTGTTATACCAATTAGTATAGCATAAAATTTTAGCTAATATCCCACATTTTAATAGTACATAAGTTTTAAGTTCTTACTGTTATAAATCTATATTTAAAAAAATCCTGAATTTCCCCTAGGTCATTGCTCAAACAAACCATAATTTTTATAGCTTTCAATTTTATCTAGTTACAGCACTATCAATTAGAAAATCAGGCCTCTCCTGCCGCACCCACCTGTCACATCCTCTCTTTCAGGATTTGTTAATAGTTCTCTCTAACATTTAGTTATATATATATATTACCCACCACCAATAGAAAGTCAAGGTTTTCATTTATCAAATGACATATTTTATAACGTTGTGTTCTGAACAAAATATTGTCAGTTTCACTCAGATTACAAGATTTTTTTCCCCATGTGAAAGTTAATGACTAGCTTGGATGAATTTGTAATGGCTCTTGTTGCACAGTTAGAATGCCATAAAAATGTTTAGAGTTAGGGGAAATTGTCTGCTTTTTGCATGTTATAAGTCTATGTTCTTTGGTGCATAATTTAATTAAATAGAAATTATTTAATGCACTACTACCATTAGTATAAAAAATGTAGGGTTAAGTGTCATTGACAGCAATAAAAAAGAAGATTGGATAAGTAACACAGGCCTGTGAATTTAAACTTCATAAACATTGTTTTGGTTTTAATAATGGATTTTCCATAGTTCAGCTATGGAGATTTTGAAAATAAAATTCATTTTTTCGTCATATAAGGATTTTTTACAAATTGGGGAAAAAAACTTACCTAGATCAAATTATTATTTCGCTTACCGCAATGAAC